AATCACAAACATGACACTTGTAAATTAAATAATTTTATATATATACGGATTTATTCATTAATGTGTAATGTTTTTTTTTTTTAAACAATGGAGAGACTTGGTATTGTTTCCAAACAAAAGGAAATATATCGGTATTGGTATCGTCCAAAATGAGTTGGGAAAAATATCGGCATATCGGATATCGGCAAAGATCCAATATTGTGCATCCCTAATTAACATCCTATTCAGAAGTGGTCCAGGTGTGATGTCAAAGAACATATTTCAAAAAACTCCCTCAAATCTGAGCATCATCATTACAGAAGTGTCTGTCTGTCTATGGCTTGTTTTATAGAGGAAATATTGGCCTGTATTGCCAATGGCCTTGCAGAAGCAGACTTTTGACTACATGCATAAAAGTGAAAACATTTTGGCTATTCTTGCCAAGAGCCCCACCCATTTAAACTGGAAATATATATGAGGTTAAATTTAACAACAGTCCAAAAATTAAATTGCTATTTTATTTTTAAATAAACACACCATTAAAAATTATGAGCGTTTAATAATATACTTGTTTCTACTCCAATTGGTTTTAAACATTTAAACGGTGGCTGTCATAACTTGTTTCCGTCATGGATTTATTCAAACCTACATTAAGACAAAAATAAACTGAATATGTAATATGCCTATATTTAGCAAAATTCTCTCTAGAGTTAAATTACATTGCATTATGTTGTTTACAAACAGTTTTAACGTCTTTCCTGCTGGTTTTTCACGGCATATTAAAGTGTCTAAACCACATTTATTGTTTGAATTCTGAGAGTTTGACAGAAGGATTTGAAAGGTGAGGCTTTGTTTTACATCAAAAGTAACAAAATGCAAAGCTCATTGCAACTAGTGGATGGATGGCAGGCATGCTACAAATGATTCTTAGTGAAGTGTTGTTCATATATCAGCAGAAAACAGCACTGACTAAAACATCGATCTTGAGATTTAAGAATCGATATTGGTTCATCAAAATGAGAATCAATTTAATTAAAGAAATCAATATTGTTAACCCAGGCCTAGAAATTACTGTAGAAAAATGACCAACAACAGTTGACTCTTTGTACATTTCATTTGGGGGCGTTTAGCAAATCGAATGACTAGTTTTTCTTCAGAAGCTCTCATTGTAGCAACCTGCTACTTTGGAAACACAACTTTGTTTTGCGGCAGACCAAAATAAGACGATCTGATTAGACAGCATTGAGAAAACTCCTGACAATAATTTTTTTTTGTTTTGTTTTGTTTTGTTTTTTTATATAAAGCAAAGTCACACTAACAACCTGTGTAGTTAAAAACATTGCCATCATGACAGCCTGAATTTCTAACACCGTTTGCCTGTTGTAATCTTTAAATCCTTTTGGCCTGGTATCTCCCTCTAATCTCTCCAGAATGTTTATCTAGCTGATGTGGTGAAGTATCTGAGCAAGTTGAAACAATAGATGGCTTAAGCTCAAGGTCTTGTTTTATTTTCGTCTTTCAGATGTGCAGCCAGTGGAGTATGAGGAGCCCAGTCACTGGTGCTCTATTGTGTACTATGAGCTGAATAATCGTGTGGGAGAGGCTTACCACGCTTCCTCCACCAGTGTGCTGGTTGATGGATTCACTGACCCATCCAACAACAAGAACCGCTTCTGCCTGGGCCTGCTCTCTAACGTCAATCGCAACTCCACTATTGAAAACACTCGCCGCCACATTGGCAAAGGTATGCATGCAGTTATTATCCACAAAGATCTTGTACATTGTAACTGTGCTTTATTTCACTCAGCCCTGGAAACCCAGTGGGAGGTGACTTTAACCTTCAGCAAAACAGTGTTGTTATCAGTAACTAAAACTATTAAAAACATTTTTGTTGAATGAAATAAAGCTAAATATTAGGTGAAAAATTTCATAAAACATTAGAAATGTTGCCTTGTCAGCTAACTGAAGTTGACTAATTGAAATAATTAAAACAAAAAAAAACTATTAAAACCGTTCAGAAATATAAAAAATGAACTAATAAAAATGACCAAAGCACAAAATTACAAAACAGTTATAATTTACAGTTATAAGTTATAAAAGTTATAAAAATTTCATAAAACATTAGAAATGTTGCCTTGTCAGCTAACTGAAGTTGACTAATTGAAATAATTAAAACAAAAAAAAACTATTAAAACAGTTCAGAAATATAAAAAATGAACTAATAAAAATGACCAAAGCACAAAATTACAAAAAAGTTTGTGAAACCTAGAAATATAAAAATAAAAGCTAATTTGGAATATAAATAAAAACTACAATAGTATAACAATACTAAAATAACACCGTACCAAAGGTTTGTCAGCATGACCTATAATGACAGCCTTTCACACCAAATAAGATAACTATATGGCGTTATCACCATCTAATGGTTTATTATAAGTATGTGCTGTAGTTTTGTTGTCTACCAATTTAAATGCTCGAGATCTTTAAATTCGGGTAGATCTGATTGCCAGTGTTTTTAGCGTTCAGCTGGATAAAAATTGTTTTGAAAGTGATTTGAATGAAATTGTTGCTCTTGTTATAGCTGTGGTGTGGACTTCCCTATTCTCATAAAATTAGATTATTACTTTTTATAATTATCATCATCGTTACTGTCCTTGGTGTGCATGGCCCTTTAAAAGCAAGACATTTTTTTTCATACATAACAATGAAGACAGTTGTGTTAATATTACAGTGATAACAATGAATCATCTCCACACCTAAAAAGTTAAATAAAAGTTCTCAAAGCAAACGTGTTCAATTACAATGGTGAATCGTTGCACTATATTATGATTCACTATTGAAATAAAAAACAGGAAGACCTACAAGATGTCTTTTTCTAATCTTCCACAGAATGTGCAGCTGTTTATTGAGCCAGATATTCATTATTTTGCGTTTTACTCTATAGAATATTTCAGAAGTCCATTTACGATGATCACTTCTCCCTCAGGTGTCCACCTGTATTACGTTGGAGGAGAAGTGTATGCAGAGTGTCTGAGTGACACCAGCATTTTCGTCCAGAGTCGAAACTGCAACTTCCATCATGGCTTCCACCCCACAACTGTCTGCAAAATCCCCAGCGGCTGCAGCCTCAAGATCTTCAACAACCAAGAATTTGCTCAGCTGCTCGCTCAGTCTGTCAACCACGGATTCGAGGCCGTCTACGAGCTCACCAAGATGTGCACCATCCGCATGAGCTTTGTAAAGGTACGAGTGTCACCACCAGTGAGAAGTTTTCAGATGGTTATTCACCTTTAACAGTTCAGGGAGTAAAAACTTAGTAGAAGATCTATCCTTGTGTAACTTTATACCTTAACTAAAAACAGGCAAAAATGGATGTTACGGTTAGGCATTTAAAATGGGGACTAGGTGAATGGATATAGAAGCAGAAATATGTGAGCATATTTGATCAAAGCACATTTAATTTTTGTTGTTAAAATGTGTATTATTTAAACTATATAAATTTATTCCTTAATTTTTTTTTTTTTTTTTTTTTTAGGGCTGGGGTGCAGAGTATCACAGACAAGATGTGACGAGCACACCTTGCTGGATAGAAGTGCATCTTCACGGTCCACTCCAATGGCTGGATAAAGTCCTAACACAAATGGGTTCTCCTCTGAACCCCATCTCTTCTGTCTCATAATGAAGGGCCCTGCTGGGCTGGGAGAGTGTTTTTTTGTTTTTTTTGGTTTTTCTTTTCTTTCTTTTTTCTTCACTTTTGAAAGAAAAGGAGATATTAAGGGCTGAACTGTTTACACTACCTGCAGAAGGGTGACCGGATCCTGCGGCAGTCAGAACGAGAAGAATGAACTGGGGCTACAAGCACATCTAGCTGAGGAAAATTCTAGGCAGTGACACAAAATGGACTAACTACTGCTTTAGCAATTGCCTTCCTGTTTGTTTGTTTGTTTGTTTGTTTTTTTGCAATTGTTTTAAAATGATGCTTGTATGACTGATTTTCTCTAACTGTAGGTAATCTAGTAATGAAATTGACATGCTTTCATGTATCTCTACTTCACTTTACACCAGTTGAAAATGGCAATTTCCTAGTTCTATGAGAATCTTTTTAATTGGTATGTTGTCTAATCCCTGTTATTCACAAGGCATATTTCCCTTTATATGTTTACTGTTAGACTCAAAGCTCATTACAAATGTTTCCTTTTTATAGCATCTGTTGCCTTAAGGCAAATCAAAGTTACTGCTTTTAAATAAAGTTCTTTTATCTGATAAATTTGTGCTCATTTGATATGTTTTTGTGATTACAAATGAAAGCTGTTGCTCTCTTAGAGTACATGTGAGCCATATGGACTGAGACTTGTAATTTTTAAATCCAGAGCTGGTGGCTAGCACAATATGTCCTTGCAAGTGTCCGTGTTCTCCAGGACAGAAAACACAGAAGTGCGTAGATTTCATTAGTGTTGCATGATTGTACTTGTTTTATACAAACAGATTTCTGCAAGTGGAATCAGTGCTCATGGAGACTAAACTGGACCATGATGTCTGTTATTTGCCTCCCTCTACTGGACAAGACATGGCATATTTTAGTACTAGTACCAGTTCCTGTCAAAAAAAAACCTTACCTGTGAATAGTTTTGTACATTTTTACACCAAGGTGGTAGAAAATGTTGCTGTTCACATCAAAACGATATGCTTTCTAGGATATAAAACAGGAGTTTAGACCACATTAAAGTCATTCTTTTAGTAATTGAATAGAATAGAATCTGCCTGCTGTATCTCTGTGTTTGTTCTCAATCATAGAGCAATCAGACCAAAATGCTTTCTAAATACAGAAGTTGAAACGTTTAGACATCACCAGTGTGAATTTGAGGAGCGTTACAGTTTCTCCACAACAACTAAGCATTAAAAACGCAATAACGCCCGGTTGGACTGGGTCGTTTTATTAATGTATTTACTTTTCAATCAAAAATATAAAACACAAAATGAAAAAAAAAAAAAATACAATTATATTGATTGAGCAAGCAATAGCACTCGGACAGTGTGTCTAAAATGATTATATCTTGAAGTTATCTGTCTATATTGTGATAATGATATTTTTTGTACATTTTGTGGCTTCATTTATTTTGGAGTTGTCCTTATTCGGGTTGTTTTTGGACAGACTTTTATTCATTTAAAGATTACATCATGCCCAGCTTTCAACTGTATTTTGAGAATCTTTATTCGTTTTTTCCACTTATGTCATGTCTTGCGATTAATCGCATCCAAATTAAAAGTTTTTGCTAATGTGTGTATATTTATTAAGTATATATAGATACACAAACACACATGTACATATAAAAATATTTACATATATATATATACATATATAAACAAAACATATTTTTCTTAAATATATACATGCATGTGTGTGTATTTATATATATATACATAATAAATATAGGCCTACACAGTACACATATATTATGTAAACAAAAACTTATTTTGGAAGCGATTAATCGCGATTAATCATTTGACAGCTCTAGATAAATTAATGTAAATGTGAGCCTTGTTTTAAAGGCAAAAATTCAACAATACCAAAAAAAGTTATATTAAGTTTAAAAAATAAGAAAGCTGTAAAATGTTAATTTTGTAATAAATTAATACTTCATTTTATTTGTACCCACTTATTTTTTGTTTGTTTATCGTAATGTACCTGGCTGTGCGTATTAAAAGTCCATTAAAAATGGTTCTCTGAAACGAAAGAACCTATTCGTGGGAACGAACAAACTTGTCTAGCTGGATTGATGAAAGTTTCGTAAGCTTTTATTTTGAAACCAAAACTCTGCTCGGTTCAGTCATCTCGAAGCTGCTGCGCTGTCTTCACTCCACTGGCAGGATTGACCGCTCACCGGAAGTGAGGTGGCCTTTCTCGAGAGCAAGCGAAAAATAAACACGTAACCGTCAAGCGGCCGCGTCTACAAGAGATTGGAGGCGACACGATTGCTTTAGATGGACGGATAGACACAAGACGCGGTTATTAGAAGCAGAACTCAACATAGGCCACCTCTCTAAAGCAGAAACAGCGGATTCCTGCGACTGAAGGAGAGACACACTGCGGGTCAGGACTGCTTTAGCTAATGTTAGTCGGCCAGACTTGATGCATATCAGCATATGGTCGGGTTATTAAAACATGCTGTGGCGGATTTAGTTAGTGTTTATTATCTCCAAGTTATCGTAGATTAACTATTGCTGTCATATTGTCTTTCGTAGCCTTCATATAACTGTTCAGCTAATTGGTGCTGCTTTCAAACAGTCTGTAGCCAAGCATTTAATATACAAACATAATACTATGTAATTTAAATAAAGCTTAATTTAACTAATTTATGCTCTTAGAATATGTATTATAGGTCTTGATGCGTAATGCATATACATACTGTAATTTGGGCCCTTTCACTTTAGTGTACTGGAAATGTCTTTTTCCAGACTAGCATAAATTTTTTCTGCATCTGAATGGTGTTGTAATACTGATGTTGTCACGGTGTTATGAAATGTCTTTGCCCTCATCTCATGTCGTTTTGAGAACAGTCCATTCTGATTTCTTTGTTTTCTCTCCTCTGTAGTGCAAGATGGTGCGAGCCGCTCTTGCAACAGGCACCAGTTTGGTGCTGACTGGCGCAGTGGTTGCTCATGCCTACTTCATGAAGCACCAGTTCTACCCCACTGTGGTATACCTCACTAAAAGCAGTCCTAGCATGGCAGTAAGTTGTTGTCGGTGTCAGATCCTTATGGAAAGGCACTGTAAACTCTGTGATTTGACTACTATTTCTTTGGCAGGTTTTATACATTCAGGCTTTCGTTTTGGTTTTCCTTTTGGGGAAATTAATGCGGAAGGTCTTTTTTGGGCAACTGAGAGCTGCTGAAATGGAGGTTCGTGTCTAAATTTGCAAAGTGTGCAAAGGCAAAAGAAAGTTGACTTTTTGTCATTCTTATTTGTACATTGTTTGTGTTTTCAGCACCTGATTGAACGCTCCTGGTACGCGGTGACCGAGACCTGTTTAGCCTTTACAGTCTTCAGGGATGATTTCTCTCCTCGCTTTGTGGCCCTTTTCACTTTGCTGCTTTTCCTCAAGTGTTTCCACTGGCTGGCTGAAGACAGAGTGGACTTTGTGAGCGAACAGTTTGTTAAAAAAAAAAAATCACTATTATTTTATTATAAAGATGTAATTTATTGTTTTGGAATATAATGTTTTCATATTTTATTGTTAAAAATAAAATATTTTTTATTACAGTTTATATTTGTATTTTATTGATAAATTATATATGCACATGTGTGTGTATATAAGATTTATTTTATTGTTTTGGAATATAATGTCATTTTATTGTTAGATGTGAACATTGAGAGGTTACATAATATTTGGGGAAAAAAATATTTTTTACAGTTTATATTTGTTTTATTAATTTTTTTAATACTGTTTTTATTCTTTTATTGTTATATATTAACATTGGGAGGTTACACCTAATTATAAAAATATGTATTTATTACATTTTATATTTATTTTATTATCAAATTAAATTATCGTTTGAACAATGTTCACATTTAACAGACAAAATATGAAAACACTAAGACGTTACATCTCATTTTAAAAATATGTATCATTAGATTTTATATTTTAATTTCATTATAAAAATCTTTTATTTTTTGAATATGTTTTCATATTTTATTTTTAGATGTGAGCATTGAGAGGTTACATCTAATCTGAAAAAAAATATATATTTTTTTATTTATTACATATTTTTTTGCTTTTAAACAAAAGGCTTTCATTGTTTATCTTATTTTTAGATGGAAAGGAGTCCAAATATCTCATGGGTCTTTCACTTCAGAGTTCTCTGTGAGTAATTCATGACTGGATTTGCTGTGGCCTGTGTTCTGTAGCAACAAATATATCTCTGACTTCCCTTTTATATATGAAACTACTTTGCTAACTCATTTTTCCGGACATGCAAATTATTGAGCTGCACCTGTATCTTGAATTTCAAGGCATTTGACTTTAGACCGCCTTATTTGGACTCACGGTCGTGGTGGTATTGCATCATTTCATGAGCGTGTCACTAATGTTCTTTTCTCTCTGCTGCAGCTCTGATGGTGTTGCTGGCAGTGTTAGACTTTCTGTTTGTCAATCATTCGTGTCACAGCATTATAACAAGAGGAGCGTCAGTGCAGCTGGTTTTTGGATTTGAGGTGAGCATCAGTTTAATTCTAGTTTTAGTCTGAAGGAGATCCTGCAGAACTAAATTTCATGAATGATACTAATGAAAAGCCCACTGACCCTAAACCTTCTCACATGGTGTCCCATAACTTGTTGCTTGTCATCTTAGCAGTTGAATATATTTTATACTACTAGAGATTTAAAATAACAATGGCTTAACAGGAATATGAATGGTGTGGATGTACCGTAAACGCTTTCTGCTTGTCTTTCAGTATGCGATTCTGATGACTATGGTCCTCACCACCTTCGTCAAGTACACCTTGCATACAGTTGATCTGCAGAGTGAGAATCCATGGGACAATAAGGCCGTCTACATGCTCTACACAGAGCTCTTTACAGGTACATCCTGGAGAACCATAGCATGGGATATGTTTCCAAATAGCCCATTCACAGATTGACTGATGTTACATTTATCCTTCAGGTTTCATCAAGGTGCTTTTGTATATGGCGTTCATGACCATAATGATAAAAGTGCACACCTTCCCTCTTTTTTTATTTTTTTTTTCAGTTTAATTATTTTTTACAATGTTTTTATTTATTTTTATTGTATATTTAGTGTTTTTTATGTTGTGCAGTGTTTAATATGTTTATTCACAGATTGACTGATGTTACATTTATCCTTCAGGTTTCATCAAGGTGCTTTTGTATATGGCGTTCATGACCATAATGATAAAAGTGCACACCTTCCCTCTGTTTGCCATTCGACCCATGTATCTCGCAATGCGGTGAGTGATAAATCATCAGATTCCAGCTATGCTGGTATGTTTTGTCAACAGTTAGAACAGTTTGTATTAATCTTTTGTCGTGTGCAAAATGTTTGTCTTTTCAGGCAATTCAAGAAGGCAGTAACAGACGCCATCATGTCTCGACGAGCCATTCGTAATATGAATACTCTGTGAGTATCTCTCTGGAGTAATTTGAAATATCTTTTAGTGTTATTGTTTGAATTACTGTTAAGAGTTTTCTTTTTATTTATTTAGTTTATTTTTATTAATATAGTGCAGTGTAATATTTTTTGTAATTTTTTAATTTTCAGTTAGTATTTATTTATTGTGTATTTAATGTTGTTCTTAGTATTGTCATGTTTAACATTTTTAGAATTTATTAATTAGTTTTTACAGTTTAATTATTAAAATTGTATTTACTTTCAGTATCTCTGAAATAATCTGAAATGCCCTATAATGTGCAAGTGTTATTGTTTGAATTATTTTAACATTTTTCTTATTTTTATTAACGGTGCGGTGTAAAATTTTTAGTATTAATTTCTTCATTATATATATATATATATATACACGCGCACAGCCACCGACAATGTGTGCATCATTTGCAGAGAAGAGATGGTGACTGGAGCCAAGAAACTGCCGTGCAACCACATCTTTCACTCAAGGTTCAGTTCCTCTGCTTATGGAAAAAAATCTCAGGTTTCTTTAGTGTTGACATCTGCATGCATATTCTGAATAGTTCGTTCCTCTCATTGTAGTTGCCTTCGCTCATGGTTCCAAAGACAGCAGACGTGTCCGACGTGTCGTATGGATGTCCTCCGAGCGTCCCAGCCAAACCAGACTCCTGCCCCAGCTCCTGCACAAGCACCTGCCCCTGCTGCTCCTGCTAATGCCCCCGTACCTCCACCTGTCAATGGTAAAAACATCAAAACCTGGCCGATTAATCTGCTGACGTGGCTGTTTGTTCTCTGTAAACCATGGTTACTCTTCTGTGCAGTTGCTCCAGGTATGATGCCTCAGTTTCCTCCTGGTCTGTTTCCCTTTTGGGGTCCCTTCCCAGGCGCGCCTCCTCCTGCTGCTCCAGGTGCACAGGCAGCTACTGACGCTCCACAGACCAGCACCGCTGCAACACAGGCCCAGGGAGCAGGTCAGCAGCTCTTATTTATCTTACCTCACTGTGAAAAGCTGGAATACCCATGATTCTCATAATAATTTTCACATTGTGTCGGATAGAATCAGGAGCCAGCAGCTCGACCCAGCCGAATGCAGACAGTGCCTCTGCTGCTCCCGGAGCAATGCCTGGATTCCCCTTCTCCATGCCTCCACCTTTCCCATCAGCTCCATGGCTGCCGATGCCTCCACCTCCACCCTTTAGTATGTCAGAGTGGGCAAAATGCGGCACTATAATATCATGCATCATTGAAAAAAAAATGCTTTTGCAAGATATATTTGAGTAATCTGTGACCCCTGTGTTTACTAGTGTCATCCATGCCACCGCCACCATCGACTCTGTCCACCATGTCAGAGGCCGAGCTCAGAGAACTGGAGCAGGAGGGCAGGCGGGGTTTGGAAGCCAGGTTGCAGTGCCTTCACAACATCCACACATTGCTGGATGCCGCCATGCTCAACATTCATCACTACCTCAGCACGGTGGCTACATTAAGGTATGCAAACATGGCTTGAGGTTCGTTTGATAAAAAGTTCCTACCTCTGAAATCCCCGTATTTTCTTTCTTTTTTTACTTTCTGTTTAGTCCTCCAAGATCAGAAACCAACGCTGGTGAGACGAGTACATCAGTGAATGTGGAGTCCTCTTCCTCCACGGGCAACACGGAAACTCCCAGTCAGGAGAACGAGGCTCAGAGCGGTGAGTAGAATGATGCCACAACTTCTTGAATGATTAAGCTAGTGTGTGTGTGTGTGTGTTTACTTAACCATATTTTGGGGACAAATTTGTACCCAAAAGTGAGCAAAACCTGACAAAATCACCAAAAACCTCCATTTGGGGACGTCCTCATTTGTAAAACTGCTATAAAAAATTAAGTAAACACAGTTTTTTGAAATTGTAAAAATGCTGAAGGTTTTCTGTGAGGGGTAGGGGTGGGTTTAGGTTAAAAAGTGTATAACTATCTGTATATAAAAACAACAGAAGTCTATGTAATGTCCCCATTTAGATAGCTAAGTAAACGTGTGTGTGTGTGTGTCTTCAGTGTCACATGATTGTTAAGAAATCATTCTGATATGCTGATTTGCTGTTCAAGATACATTTCTTATGATTATGAATGTTGAAAATAGTTGTGCTGCTTAATATTTGTATAGAAACCATGATACTACTATTTGAAAGAAATCCTGTTATTCAGCAAGGATGCATTAAACCGCTCAAAAGTGATAGACATGTATAAAGTTGCGTAAAAATCTATTTCAAATAAATGCTGCTCAGTGAACTTTCTATTCATCAAAGAATGCTGAAAAAAAAGATCAGGTTCCACAAAAATATTAAGCAACAAAAACTTTTTCCATCATTGATGATAATAAGAACCATAATTAATAATTAAAATTGGGTGCCAAATCAGCATATTTATTTATGATTTTTGAAGGATCATGTTAAAAACATTAATATATATATATATATAAACGGGTGCACATAAATGGTGCAAAAGAGTGACCAAAATAAAAAATGCGCTGTGTAAAAGTTCAAACAGCTCATTTGCATACCAACATGGCTGACAGCTGTTAATGCACAATCATCGTTTTAGATCGAGTAATACTGTGTAAGATTTCTATTCGAACTGAAAGCATAAATTTAGGCTGTGCGCTTCCGGTTTCAGAGCAAAACTGAGAAACTGAAACTGACGCGCTTCACTCTGCAGCGCCTCTATACTTACTTGGCAGCAACCCGCTTAAATAAAAGCTTGCTGATTTTAGGTTTAAAATGTTTAAATTCATATAAAAAGTAAAAAAAAAAAACGATTGTACTGAAACAGTTCTTGTTGTTTAAATCAATATACTGACATACTGTGACACACAAGTATGTAGCCATTAAAAGTGGCTACCTGGCATCAGGGTTGTATGTTGATTCCAGGGTCATTGTATTCTCTTGTTCATAGATGGATCTGTAAATGGAGCTACAGGCTTTTCTCCACCAGACTCAACCACAGGAGTGGACAAAGACAGGAAGGAGGGGGATGAAGATGAGGATGACGGTGAGCCAAATGCCGCCGAGTTGAGACGACGTCGCCTGCGTAAACTGGAGACCACTAATACACCTGACCACTGATGACGTGATCCATTTAAACGTGCAATTGTGAATTGACTTTGACAGTAGAAATGCTTCTCTTGGCACTTGGCATGTTGAGATGTCAGATTATCTGAGGAAAGTTCATGTGTTCTTATATGTTCATTTAAATGAAGCACATCAAGCACTTCCCGTTGTGTGGAGGATTTGTCATTGTAACGCGTACGGAAGACACTCAGGCAGAGAACTGGTTTCTGGGTTACCACGCATAAAGATATTAAGGATAAAAAAAAGCCTTGCACCTTGAAAGTCCACTGTGACGTCTGACTCGAGTAATGCTGAGACTTTCCTCTCTGAATGTGATTTCTGTCTCTCAGAGGAACAAGGTCTGTTGATTTCTTGTGTGCCCTTAAAACTTGATGTTTTCCCCTTCTTTGTGTATTTTCATTATTTCAAGCGCTACATCATAGATTTTTTCTTAGATTAACTTTGGTTATGGGTAAAAGATGATCTTCAACCAAAAATCTAAATTAACTTACTGTACATAATGTATAAAGTGTTTTAATAGGAGGATCTGTACATACAGCACAATAAATTGTTCGCAAGAGACGTATGTCTAGTGAGTTTATCAACTATACCATTTAAAGGTATGGGGTCAGTTTGCTATTTTTTTTAATTAACACTTTTATTCAGCAAGGACTCTGTTAATTAAAAGTAACATTAAAGACATTAATAATGTTACAAGAGATTTCTATTTCAAATAAATGGTGTTCTTTTGAATCTTGAATGTCTAGTGAGTTTATCAACTATACCATTTAAAGGTATGGGGTCAGTATGCTATTTTTTAATTAATACTTTTATTCAGCAAGGACTCGGTTAATTAAAAGTAACAAAGACATTAATAATGTTACAAATGATTTCTATTTCAAATAAATGGTGTTCTTTTGAATCTTGAACAACAATGTATCATGGTTTCCACAGAAATATTAAGCAGCACAACTGTTTTTAACACTGATACTAATCAGAAATGTCTCTTGAGCAGCAAATCAGCATATTAGAACGATTTCTGAAGGATCATGTGACACTGAAGACTGGAGTAATGATGCTGAAAAATTATTTTAATAAATGCAGCCTTGGTGAGCACGAGACTTATTAAAAAAAAATTTAAATATCATACCCACTCCAAACTAAAGTACAAAAAAACAAATGTCATAATAATGACCATTAACCTAAGATAATTTTTTTATGTTTTTATGACCAACTCATGCATTTTCACAAATATTACATTTCTAAATTCAGATTTTTTTTGTATTTTCTGAGATTCTGACGAGACAAATTCTGAGTGCACCATAAATTTGTAAACAAAAAATTATAAAATGAAACCGTTTAAATTAGTTTTTTATTCAAATAAACTGACAAATATCAGAGCACAAGGTTAGTACCAAAAGTATTGCTTCCGTATGCACCACTTAAAATAGAATATCATCATCCTGCACAAAAATAATATGTTAATACATTTTAAGGTTACCCTTATAAATGATGAAAAGGTAAATGTGGTAATAACTCCTTATAGAAAAACCGCCAACTGGTTCCTTTTATCACAAGCATCTAGTCTAACTGGTCAGCTTTAAAAAGTCAAGGTGCAACTTCAGAAGTACAGATGCTTCCTGATCAGAGATGTTGTACCAGTCATAATCAAAGGCCTCCACTTTATGATTCTGAGACAAAAGCAGCACAGCAAGATTGTAGCACGCCCTGCTAGAGAAGAGCAAGATGACACCTGCCCCCAGCACCGCAGTCCGACAAAGCCCCTGCAAGCAGAAGACTAAATAAATAGCTGCAAATAACCTTTTTGGTCCCAAAGTTTGTCTTGTTTATCATGAGTGGCAAATAAGATTGAAAATGATACAGCAGATCATAATGGATGTAAATGTTAAAATCAACATCAAATCGAATCTGACTCTATTTACGTTCTTATTTACATTTTAATCATTAATTTAGCAGAAGGTGTTATTCAAAGATGTTCCTAGGTTAATTTTAAACTATATCATAATATTTCAGATTACAGAAGTAAAAGTGGATTGCAACTGCCGTTTGAGGTTAAAGGAATATTTCACACAAAAATGAAGATTTGCTGATAAAAACATCACAATAATCCACAAGTAATCCACACCACTCCAGTCCATCAAATAATGTAAAAAAGCTGCAAGTTTATAGAAACAAATTAATTATTAAGGCATTTTAACTTTAAACCTGGTAAAATTGCGTCCTGCTAAAATACGAGTCCTGCATAATATTGCCTTCTCCAGTGAAAAAGTCTTTTCGTCTGAATCAGGAGAGAAATATGCACAGATCAAGCACTGTTTACAAGAGAAAAAAAAATAGTTCTAAAAAAATATGTCAGCGGATTTTGAAGTGAGAGGACAACAGGAGATGGACTTTTTCACTGTTGGATACGTTATTATGGATTACAAACTCATATTTTATCCAGAAGCGATGGTTTAAAGTTTTAATGATGGATTTGTTTCTTACAATCACTCAGCTTTTCACCTCACCAGACGTTAACTGATGGACTGGAGTGGTGTGGATTACTATGAAGTTTTTATCAGCTGTTTGGACTCTCCTTCTGACGGCACCCATTCACTGCAGAGGATCAGAGGATTGGGTACTATTTCTTTAAGCATTCGAAAATGATGTACCTTGCTGCGTATATAAGGAGTGGTAGGGTGCGAGGATCGAGTTAAGAGGAGCAGAGATGTGGCCAGACACACAGCTTCCAGAATGAACAGTAGGTCATTAACCAGCACCCGAACCAGAACCAGGCTCCACGTGTTTTCACTAGCTCCACCGGAAGCGCCATGCTGTCCGAGGCTTGCGCAAACTATATTGACACACAGGAAGATGACGCTCATGGTGGCATACACACACCGTGCCACCCATCTAGAAGTCAAAGTTTACACACACACACACACACACAATTCTCATTAAACAAATAATCAGATGATTTCCATTAACATGCTAGTATGGAAATCCACTCACAGTGCTTTCCTGGGCTCAATGCTGAATACGCTTCTAACTTTGAGCAACTCCTGTCAAAGTGAAACAGTGTTATTAAGGAGTGGACTATTTTCTCAGATATGCAAACATCTTTCACTATAACTTGTCTCACCTGAGTGAAGTAAAGGTTGAAGAGACTCAGGGTAAAGAACTGCAAGCACACTGGGAAACAATAAAAGAGCCAGTAGACTGGAGTGGGCAGGTGGTTGGCCGCAAGGGCATTATGAAAATAAAACGAGAAGAGCGTTGTGCGAAGCGCTGCCCAGAACAGGCAAAGAAAAAGAAAAATACTCTGGTAACTCCATCGCTTATGCCGGTAGAGTAACAGCAACCAAAGCTGAACGTATACAACTAAAAACAGACCCCCATAAAGACAAGTGTAAAGAACCGTGACACCCAGCTGTACTGATGGGGCCACAGCTGGTTTCATGGGGGAAGGTGGAACTGGAACGTGCATTATGATGATGGATGTAAAAAAAGATTACAATTATATAATACAATGCATAGACCAAAGCTTTAAAAGAAAATAAAACAAAACTGGTGTAAAATGTCAAGATAAATCATATCAACACAAAGGGAAAACAAAATTCGGGCATGTTCAGGCATGCGTGAATCATCATTAGTTACTATGTAATATTCTGTCACATATGATGAAGCCAGGATCAAACTACACGACGAAACGTCTGAAATGTCATTTCTCAGAAGTCCCCGTATCAATCAATCTGTGATGCGCACCTGCAAAATAAAAATGAAAGTCAACACAGCCAGGTTTTACATAACAACTCAAAACATTCACACTGATATCAAGAACACTATCTCCCTAATCGAAAACAAAAGCATATTTTGTCTGAAACCAGTCATTTATTGTACATTATTAATAATGTGATTAGGATTTTTGACAATCGCGATGACAGCCCGTTATTCGTTAAGAGCTGTTGTTCATCTACCGGGTAGACTGTACCGCACAAATTATAATAGTTTTAAACTGTTTAACTAATTCTAACAATCAAACATATGTATTAAACTGACTTTAGACTGATCTAAAACGGCTAGCCGAGTGGCTAACGTTGCTAGATTGAGTTAAAAATCGATTTGCTAGTTCACAGGTCGGACCGGTTTTGACATAAATAAGCGACAACACATTTTTAAAAACTGCTTTAAATATTACTAAATTAAATTCAACATTAACTTACAATAGACTAAAGCCGTGTAGTCGACGTAACAAATCCGATAAATACATAACAACTCAAAACATTCACACTGATATCAAGAACACTATCTCCCTAATCGAAAACAAAAGCATATTTTGTCTGAAACCAGTCATTTATTGTACATTATTAATAATGTGATTAGGATTTTTGACAATCGCGATGACAGCCCGTTATTCGTTAAGAGCTGTTGTTCATCTACCGGGTAGACTGTACCGCACAAATTATAATAGTTTTAAACTGTTTAACTAATTCTAACAATCAAACATATGTATTAAACTGACTTTAGACTGATCTAAAACGGCTAGCCGAGTGGCTAACGTTGCTAGATTGAGTTAAAAATCGATTTGCTAGTTCACAGGTCGGACCGGTTTTGACATAAATAAGCGACACACATTTTTAAAAACTGCTTTAAATATTACTAAATTAAATTCAACATTAACTTACAATAGACTAAAGCCATGTAGTCGACGTAACAAATCCGATAAATCCTTCTCCTCATCACTTGTTTATGCACTGCGTTATCAAACCGACTCATCGCTGTTGGCGACATCTAGCTGTACATGCTAGTCATGAAAAACGTAAACAAAGGCGTCTTCCTCCTCCTGCGAGACCACGCCCACTTATCTAACTTCCTCCTCACTAACATTTTAGAATTACTGAAGAGTTTTAAAAATTAAAATGTTTTAAAATGAGTGGAAAGAGGAACGGTGAGAGTTCCGCAATCTCGAAAACTGATAGCATTATGTACTTTGTGGGCGTGGTTTGTCGGCTGTGGGCAGTATACAGTGGGCGTGGTTTACAGTATTGCAGGAAGCAGACCTATCATGAAAAAACGCCCATTGCTTTACCGCGCTGTACTGAGAACAGGAAACGGCGCTTAGTTCAATTTTACACCATCAGCTGACATTTCTGTCTGTCATCATCTTTTATACCTGCGTTTCATTACACAAACTGACTGACGCGCAAATTAACATTCTGGTTTAAGTTATTGGTTACACATGTAGGCTACTCCTCTGTAATTGACGAGCTCATCATTTCATAACTTTATTTGTTATTTGTTATGTTTCGCAGCAGTACGTACAGATTCACAGGTTGTGAGTCAGAAGTGGTTTGTAACGTATGCGTTAGTAGGCGAGGTTCTTCTTCCTCTCTCTCTCTCTCTCTCTTCACTGTACCGCAGCACTGTGTGCTGTTACTGCTGTAGTTCTGCAGCCACGTCGCAGACAGAGACAGCATCGCCCTTACAAACCTCCTTCTCTTCAACTACAGCCGTCCAAATGGACCGATAACGAGTTTATCTCCTCGTACAGTTCGTCAGACATTGTGTTCACACATTTTTATTTTTAAAAATAGTTACTCGTTACAGATAAAACGTTACAGTCTCGGCTGTGGTCATGGTGAGTAGCTTGCTTGCTAACTTATGTCTCAAACTTGCTGGCTTAGTGTTTAAAAAGGTTACAACAGTTTCCTTTAGCGGTTAAGCTTTACAGTTTGTCGTCTGACCTCTCTGAAGGTTTGTTAGACAAACGTTTGTTCCAGTAATTGCTACTTGCTAACCAGAGATTAAGGGAAATAGAGATTATTATACAGTCTATCTATCTATTTACACCTTAAATACACTCTTTGCATTGAATAATTGCTAATAACATGCATATGAAGATTGTGTATGAATTACATATACATTACATGTGTATACACCCATTATATAATGTTTTTTGCATTCAACTTATGCTATAGGAACCAGAGGATGTTCATTTCAGGTCAGCAGAACATTTGATAGGTGAGGAAGAGAATGAGAAAGCAGCATTCGAGAGGAAGGAGGATGGAGAGGAGCCCCGCAAAGCAGGGAGAGCACCGCTGTCCCGCATCCCTACCTTTCAAAGCTCCCTGGGCCGCAAGCGAGTCACCGTCCAGAGTGCAGAGTCATCACCGAAGACGGATGGATCTATCCAGCAGAGCCAAAAAGAGGGAGCTGGCTCTACAGAGGCTGGAAGAGTGAACATGTCAGGGTCTGGAGGGAGAGAAACAGGCCTGCCCGTCCCATCGGCTCGTTTACACACAAGCCTCGCTGATGTTCTCCCTCAAGGTGAAATCTCGGGTCACACCTCCTCTCTTTTAGCTCTGAAAATAAATCAACCTCTTGATCAAACGCCTGAGATTACAGAAGACTCTGATCAGCTTGATATGTCACTAAAACGACCCCCACTCAGGAATGTCTATGAGACCTCTGATCTTGTCATAGAACCCACAAGCGGAGAAACCATCTCAGAAGATGAGCAGATGTCGGCGCAGGATGCCGTCGTAGAGGATCTGAGCTCACGCTCCTCTGTTGATCAGCATGTGGCATCTGATCAAGCTTGTGAAGAAGATCCTTTGAGAGAGGACTTTGAAAAAGGAGGTGTATCCCAGTCACATTGGACAGAAGAAAATAGCGTCACAGGGAATGATGTGGAATGTGTTCCAGATAAGGATGATGGATCCATACTTAGTGATCAAGATGAAACTGCTAAGATCCAGAAACCTTCAGATAGTAAAAAATGCTTTAAAGAAACACAACAGGGAAGCCAAACTGCCGATACTTCTCACACAAAACACACCAAGACCAAACCGTGTACACCCTCCAAGGTGAGGTGAATCATATTTCGTAATTAATGGTGTTTGCTAAAGCAAGAATACTATTGTTCATAAGGGTTATAGATTTCAACAAACCTCTAATCCTAAATATTAAACTTCATCCAGCACTGTTTGTGCTACCTAAACCATGCTTGTTGAGGAGAGGCGTGTTATTACGTTTCTAAGTCAACAGACATGCAATTTTCTCCTGGTGAATAATAAAATGTTTTTTTTTTTTTTAAATCCCTAACATTTACCTTGAAAAAAGGAATCAAACTGCAAAAAATGAGTTTCTTACTTTTGTTTTCCAGTACGAATATCTAAGATACATTTACTTAAGAAACAAAATGACATACCATGAGTCATTTTGCTCCTCAAGTAAATTTTTAGATATTTTTACAAGACAAAAATATTAAGAAAATAAAAGCCATATATACAGACCAGAATGTCTTTCTCTGATTTGATTCTCTGATCTCTGATTTGCATACGTAAACTAATTTTTGAGACTAGTTGCCTTGACAAGTATTTGTTTCGCCATCAAAACACAACAGAATTCCAGCAGAAGAGGATATGTGAAATGAAACAGCCACAATCTCTACTCATCACTAACAGAGATATACGTATATCTTATTGGAAAGATGTTTGCATAAGTAAACAGAAGGTCTATTTGTTTTAATTTAATATCACCAATTTTCTATTGTTTTAGCAGACAAAAGGAAGAAGCTTTTCCCTTTTCTGTCTCCTGCCCACCATTCTCCTCCTTTTGGGTGGACTTGCATCGCACGTCTGGCAGTATGGAGTCCCTAAATCTGTGTCACACCTGATGTCACAACTGGAGCTGCACTGGTTGGAAAGTTTCTGGATGCCTCAAGAGACATGCATCTCTGACTGTAGGTGAGGAAACGGGTCCTTTTCATATTTTTAAGGATTTAAATGGTGAGTTTGAGATGTTAATGTGTTTCTAAACGCTCCCTATCAGGCTTACTCTTGTTGAGAGTGTCCCTGAGGGCCTCAGCTTCCCTTCCGGCTCGCCACACCTGCAGAACATTTCAGACACTTGGACTAATCTGCTAAACAAAGCAAACCGCTCTGTCCACATTGGTGCTTTCTATTTCACACTCCGAGATTCAGACCTTGGCCTTACGGAGCCCTCGTCTGTGCTGGTATGATCTGTTGTAGATATTTCACTGTGCAGAAGTGTTGAATAATGTACTCTGAAGGCTCTAGAACATTTGTTACCTGCATATGATCTGATAGGATAATACTGATTCTGATTATATGAGAAGGCATTTCATTTATTATATCCTTTCTATAGGGCAAAAAAGTGTTCAACCAACTGAAGCAGCTGGAGCCAAATGGAGTGAAGTTGAAGATTGCTGTAAACGCCCCTCAGCCATACATTGCAGACACAGACGAACTGGTAGCAACGGGTACAACAACAGCGTGCCTATTGCACATTTGCATGCAGCCCGTGAAAACGTATACATTGAGAATAGTGAGCGGTTGAATGGTTTGGAATGGATGTTATGTACTTATGTACTTTCTTGCTTTGTGCTTTCTCTCAGGGGCTGAGGTCAGGGGAGTTGACCTGCAGAGCATCACTGGAGGCATTTTGCACACCAAACTATGGGTTGTGGATAAGAAACACATGTATTTAGGGAGCGCAAACATGGATTGGCGTTCCCTTACCCAGGTACGTCCAAATCTAGTGACATTGTGCAGCATTATCTGACTGGACAAAAGGTTTCTGTTGACATGCAAATATGCATGGTCAGTGTGTATGCAGGTCTTTGACATGTAAATGTGTTTGTGATTTTATGATATTTTATTTTACATTTTTTTTATTATTTATTTTATTTAAATAATTGTATTTTTTATTTATTATCCAATGCAGTTTATAAGTCTATAATATCAAAATGGCTAATAATAATCAGTCCTTAAAAATATCTATGCATATAGTATAGAAGAATAATCAATGTTTCTAATAGGTGAAAGAGGTTGGAGTGTCTGTGGAAGACTGCAGCTGTCTAGCACAGGACGCCTCACGGATATTTGACGTGTACTGGGACGTTGGAGCTCAGAAGAATGGATCTCTACCTCCTTTCTGGCCGGGCCGTTTCTCTGCCCTCTTCAGTTCTAAGTACCCATTAGCTGTTAAATTCAACGGTGTCCCTGCACGTGTCTATTTGTCTGTGAGTTGAGTTTCTCTCACAAGTTGACTTCATTTGTATGGTCTTGTTTATGTTTACCATATTCATAATATTTTTTCATTGCATGTTTTGCAATAATTTTATTCAACCTGTTCACATTTCCACTTATTCTCTGGCTTTTTTGCTGACTGATTTTCATTTATTCCATGTGTCTATTTTTCATTTGACATATTGTGTAGAAATGTTGTCTTTTTGTCATATTGCCACCTTTTTCACTTAAGAAAAATCATGCTTTTTAATTAATACATTGCATGGTCAGTATATGTTCATCATGTTCATTTTCATTAATTTCTAAACATGACACATGCATTTTTAGCATGTTTCATTCTTAATATCACATGACGGTTTTTGACTTGTTCTTATAGAGTTCCCCTCCTTCTTTATCATCATATGGCCGTTCTGACGATCTCTCAAGCATCCTGTCAGTAATTGCTGATGCTGAGCGGTTCATCTATGTGTCTGTGATGGACTACCTTCCCATGTCCCAGTTCACGGAGCCCATTCGGTAATCTTTAGCATTTGATATTCAGTCAGGGTTATTGTAGTTTATAGCGTTATTATAGTTAACTAAAATTAAAACCATAAAAAAGTTACTTAACTAAAATAAAATATTAAATTAGATTTTTACATTATTTTGTTTTAATTTGTTGCAAAAGAAGCATTTATTTTTTTTCCTTTTATTTCTTTTGATGTACTAAAATAACTAAAACTAAAATTTAATCAAAAATGTATCAAAAGAATACAGACATTAAAAAAATGGTCAAAAACACGCAACAAAGTGACAAAACATTCACTGAAATTAAAATGGAAAACAAAATAAAAACTAATTCAAAATATATTTTTAAAAAGCTAAATAGTATCTCAATTATACTAAAATAACACTGGGGGTAATTTTGAAAATGTAATATATTTGAATGTACATGGTGTTTAATAGCTTAGCTTAGCTAGTTTACATAACATGTGAAAGATAACTAAAACTAAAAAGGAATAAAAACTGTATAGACATTTAAAGAAAAACACAAGAAAATGGAAAATACAAAAAATATGAAAAAAAAAACCTAATGTAGTATCTCAACGATACTAAAAAAAACACTGGGTGTAACTTTGAAAATTGAATACATTTGCATGCACAGTTTATAAAGCATGTGAAAGATTATTGTGATGTTTTCAGTGTCTTATGTCATTTAGGTTTTGGCCTGTCATCGACTCGGCCCTCCGTGAGGCAGCTTGCACGAGAGGTGTTGAGGTGAAGCTGCTGGTCAGTTGTTGGAGTCATTCTCCTGGTGCCATGTTTGTTTTCCTCCAGTCTTTATCAGTCCTCAACAAGCCCCCTCTGAGCTGCAACATTCATGCTGTACGTTTCTGTGTGCTCTTTACATCTTTTTTTTTCATCCAGCCATCACTGGTGATTTAATGTCTAAAACATTTTATTTCACAGAAAGTTTTTGAGGTGCCTTCAACACGAGAGCAGCAGAGGATCCCGTTTGCACGTGTCAACCATGCCAAGTACATGGTGACTGATCGAGTTGTTTACATCGGTATGTTCGCTGTTTCCTCTCGACATGTACAAATTTCACAGCATGATCTCACTTGCATGTTTTTCCATATTCCAGCAACCTGACGGCAGGTTTGGCGCTGCATCGTAAAAAACCTGCCAACAGAAACAGTCAATGTTTACATTTACAAAGGAATTGCTGTGAATATGAGTTTGGAGTCAAGTGAATGTCAGTTTTATAATCCTGCTATGATGACTGATTGTTATATTGTGTTTTACAGGAACTTCCAACTGGTCTGAGAATTACTTCACCCAGACGGCAGGGGTTGGGCTTGTTGTGAATCAGACGGGTTCTGCAGTAGGGCAGGGCCAGCAAACCATTCAGAGCCAGATGCAGGAGATTTTCCAGAGGGACTGGCATTCAGAATACGCTCAAACCCTCACTGATGTTCACGCGGAGCACTGCAGCGGAAAAAAGCTTACATAATATACCACGCTCTTTATTTGTTATGTTGCTATGCACTATGATTCAAAAAATAAAACCATCAGAAACCAAAAACTCATCCGTGTGGCATTCCTGCCTACTGATAACTTATTTATGATGTATGTATTTGCCAGAAGGATGCTGTGCATTTTTAATGTTTGTTATAAATATGGCATATATTCATTTTTTTTTTTTTTTCAAGTGCATTTATTGTATATTTGCATTATGTGACATTTGCCAGAATAAGGACAAGGTCCTTGAGCAAGCACTGATTTTTGATGTTGAACTGGTTAAACATGCATGTAAATGAAATATTGTTGTAATAGGTGCCTTGGCTGTAATGACAGTAAAGTTTGTCTTCAAATTAAACTGCCTTTTCATTAAAGAAAATGCTTGTGCTCTGATGTTTTGAATATTTCGTTTAGATTTTTCAAAGGTACTTTATACACTGTGTTTGTGTGAGAGAGAGAGAGTGTATGTGTGTGTGTATATATATATGTATATATATATATATTGTCTGTCATATTTCAGATCAGGTGAAACAGGTGCTTATTCAGTTACTGATCATTTAAGAAAGAAAAGTTAATGTTGGACTCCAACACAAAATCATTCAAAATATCTTCCATATGTATAACAAACAGTATTTTATTAATCAACAAATGATGAATTAACATTAAAAAAAAAACGTTGTCTCAAAACCAAGTGAGCCCCTTACTTAAATTAACCATGGTTTTTATTATAGTAAATTTGTGTGTGTGTGTGTGTGTGTGTTTTGGCGGACTGATTTGTATAACTACAAATACCATGGTTAAACTATGGTTAGTGTGGCAAAACCATGGTTAACTTGTGGTGTACTAAACTACAAATAACCGTTTTGTTGTTGTTGTTTTTTTTAATTTGTAGTAAAATCGAGGTTAATTTTCGTAAGGGTTATAACTCCCAAATATGCTGCTAATAAATCCCAAATATGCTGTCTAGACAGGCAGCTCGCTAGGTTTTGAAACACAGCCCGCGTCTCCTCGCAGGAAGTGAAGGCGCGGAGGAAGGAAGACTTTAAAAATGGCACGAGAAAGAAGCCCAGCTCTATGGCTTCACCCTCAAACAAGTGCAACTCGTAAAATGCCGGTGTGCCACAGAATACTCCTACTTTTATGGCTACTCCACTTTTCTTCCGTATATTCAGATATAACGGACGGGAATGTGGAGCACTTAAAGCGGGAGCACTCGCTCATTAAGCCATATCAGGGTGAGTAGCAGCTGTAGCCTCCTGCACGCACTAAGGTGTTTTACTTTTGTTCACTACGTAAATTAGGATGTCACCCAAGTTACTTTGTAATGCTTTGGTTCATGTCTTTTATTGGGAACGTGTATTTCGGGATATAGTAGGCTACAGTCGAGTCTTTACAGTGACAGCTCAGTGTAAACAAAACTAGTTAGCCTTTATTTGAACAGGTGAGGAAAGTTTGCTTTTATAGTGCAGGTTGGAAAGAAATCCACCTTCCAAGGGAGAGCATGCAAATTGTCAGTATACTATATAATAAAATAAAAAAAGTGCGTAGTTAAGACTTTGATGACTGTTTTGTTTCATATAACGTTAATGGGGTCCAAATATCTGAACAAAAATCTAAAAAAAAAAAATTACATTATTACATTATCAGGCACACGTTTACTCCACAGGTTTGTGCTAAACCTGACGATCTTGTTCTCCAGCATTATGTGAGGAAGACCTAAAGAGTATCTTATGACAAAAAGTCTCACAGCAGTGTCACAGATACAAAATATTTTGTATTTGTTATATATCATTAAAAAAACTTAAATACTAATACTTTGAGTGTATTTCCAGATGCACTGTAAAAAAATATATAATTTCATTTACATTAATAACTGCGAGCTTACTGTAAAAATACTGACAGTGTTTCCAGTATTGCAGGATGCCTGTATATTTTACAACTAATATAAACAGTAGATTTTATAAAGTGATATAATGTTTATTGTGAGTGTCCTGTCCATAAAAAATGGCCAATACTTGTATGTAGAGGAGTATTGGTCATACACACAAAACACCATCAGTGAAACACACATGACACTAAAATAATGGAATAAATATTAATTAAATAACATATGTAAAACAAAACCCCTAATGTACATTACTGATAACAAAAATAAACTATTTAAATATAAAAAATAAAATCATATGTGATGTGTCACAAAGGGGCTTTTTTCATTGAAAATTATATGGTGATTCATAGTTTTAACTTACAACTTTTAACTTTTTTTTTTTAACTGTAGATGTTAAGAGTTGGTTACAGTTAACCAATTAACTTTTTTTGATGTAGCATTTTTAGTTTTTTTTTTTAACAGCGTATAAATACATTTTTGAATTATAAAATTTTCATTGTGGTCTCATGCTTTTGAACCCCACTGTATGTGATGAGACTCATTTTTATCTCAGAATGTTCTCATAAGCTTCACATTGCACTCAACTTACCAATACACTGTAAATAAGTTTTGCAACAATTATATGATCATTGATGTGTCTTGCGTCAGGTGTTGGAACGAGTCCATCAAGTCAGTGGGACTTTCGGGGAAGTACTTTAGTAACCAGCCAGTATGTGCGTCTGACTCCGGATGAGAGGAGCAAACAAGGGTCCATCTGGAATACAGTGGTGAGTAAAACTGAACTAAAAATCTTGTTGATCTCGAAAATTGTCAGAAAAACAGTTAATGTGACGCACCTAAATAATGCAAAACTAAGTTGAGTAATGTTAATTTTCCCTGTCTGCAGCCCTGCTATTTGAAGGATTGGGAGATGCATGTGCAGTTTAAAATTCATGGATCAGGAAAGAAGAATCTCCATGGAGATGGTTTTGCCATTTGGTACACGAAAGACAGGCTACATCCTGGTACGTCTGTGAAGAAAAACTGAAGGTTTAGATCCCGTTCGAAGCACTTTCTCCACCATTTCATGAATTGAAATGTAATGAGTTCTAATGCTGTCTACTGTATGTGTGTGTAGTCCATGTACACGTGTGTGTGATCCATCTGTAAGTCTGCTCTTTCTTCCCTGCAGTTGATTGTGTCATACTTTCATTTAGGCCCAGTATTTGGAAACCAAGACCATTTTGTAGGCCTGGCTGTTTTTGTGGATACCTTCCGTAATGATCTACAAGGAATGGATGTAAGTGTGCCGTACTCACGGGTCCTTCTTTCTCTGCAGGCACCGTGTTTGGCAATAGTGCCAATTTCCATGGGTTGGCCATTTTTATAGACACATACCCTAACGATGAGGCTCCGGATGGGAGTTGAGAGATGTAAAATGTTTGTGTTTTTGTACCTTCATTTGAATGAAAGCTTTGCTTTATCATTATCAGATAAACTTGAGATTAGATACAAAGATATCTCTTTCCAAAAAAGCTAGTATTTATGGGAATACTGGATTTTTGGCATGTTTGTTCTGCTTCTGGTCATCGGCTTTGTCCTCGCGTGGAAACTGATTTAAAAGGGATAGTTTGAATATGATTATTTGCATTCAGATGTAAAACTGAGAAATAATCCTTTGAGTAGATAAGAATATCTTTTATTTGAACTATCCCTTCCCTTTTTTTTTATTCACTATATGTTCTTCAATAAATCTTTCAAACAATTTTTCCAAACACTATAAATAAGCAATGCTTTCTTTGTTTTGCCTGCATTATGTGGTTCATGTCATTTTCTTGCCCTCATCATTCATTATTTGTTGTTGAAGCGTTTCATAATTTGTATTTACAGTGCTTATTGTTTTGATTTTAGTAGATTTCAGTGACCTTTTAGATCATTCTGTTTTACACAAGCTGATTCAGGAACAGCTGGATAAGGGTACAATGTACCATCCTTTAGTAATTTACATTGCATTTTTCTGTCAAAAATATAGGTAAAAATCAATGTAATACATTTCATTCATATTCTTTGGTCCTCTAGCGCTCGTTTCCCTATATTTCTGCGATGGTGAATAACGGCTCCCTGCCGTACGACCACAGGCAAGACGGTCGGTCTACTGAATTGGGAGGCTGCTCTGTGAAAGTCAGGAACCAAGATCATGACACATACCTGGCCATTAGATACTCCAAAGGCAGACTCACGGTAAGATGACGGTAGGGCTGTGCGATATTAAAGAAAAATGCGATATGCGATACGATAATGCTTAAAGTGCCACATGCTCAGATGAAACAGTTTTACACAGCTGTTGCTGAGTCAGTTCTGTGAACTTCTATAACTCTTGTGTCATATATATATGGTTATTTGCTATGCATATTGCGATATGTACATTTGCGATATTTCGATAATTTCGATATATTGCACAGCCCTAGATGACGGTAATGCAAATACAGTGATAAAGAATCAGTAAGAATTTTTTTTTATGTTTTTGAAAGTCTCAAGTTGCAGTAAAAACAGCAATTTTACTTTTATATTAAATATTTTTACAATTTAAAATAATTGATTTCTATTTTAATATATTTTTAAATGTAATTTATTTCTGTGATGGAAAAGCTGAATTTTCATCAGCCATTACTCCAGTCGTCACATGATTATTCTAATATGATTTGGTGCTCAAAAAACATATCGGTAACACTTTACACTTAGTTGGACTGTACTGTTTTTAACGTAAATAGACTTGTATTTAATAGATGTATTTTAAAAAGTATCACCCGAATGTATTTTAGATTTTTTTTTGTCTAGTATTAGCCTTAAATGCCTTTTGTTTCTTTTTAATTGTACGACTATTGTTATTTATTCTGTTTTCGCAAAGATAGCCTTTCTGCTGAAATGGTGTTAAAGCTTTACAATTAGCCTCCACTTTTAAAATAGTTCTCATGACCTAATAAAAATATTTTTAAAAGCATTTATTAGTCCTAGTTAATGATAATTCTAACAGTTACTAATACATTATTAAAATCAAACGTTGTACTGTTAATATTATTTAATGGACTTGAGCTAACATGAAGTACATTTGTATTTTTATTAAATAACATTAACAAAGATGAATAAGTACTGTGATAAATGTATTGCTCATTGTTAGTTATTGTTAGTCAGTTCGCTAGATAAGACCCTTATTCCTCGTCTGGTATCGTGTAGGGCCCTTTGAAGCTGCACTGAAACTGTCATTTTGACCTTCAACCGTTTGGTAGCCGTTGAAGTCCACTATAAGGAGAATAATCCTGGAATGTTTTCATCAAAAGAAAGAAAGATGAAAACATCTTGGATGAAATGGGGGTGAGTAAATTATCAGGAAATTTTAATTTGAAAGTGAGCTAATCCTTTAACTAGTGTTTTCTAATGGGATCTTGTTGTAAAGTATTACCAACATTTCTTTTTTTCTTATTATTATCAATGCTAAAAACAGTTGAGCTGCTTATTTTTTTTTGTTTTTTTGTGGAAACCGTGATACAGTTTTATCAGGCTTCTTTCTTTGGTGAATAGAAAGTTCAAAAGAACAATTATTTGAAATCGAAATCTTTTGTAACATTATAAATGTCTTTACTATCATTTTTGATCAATTTAACGTATCCTTACTGAATAAAAGTTTTTTTCTTTTTTTTTTTTTTTTTCCGCAAACTTGAACTGTATTGTATATTGTTTTATACCAGTGACTACTGACAGTTTTATTTTGGCGCGGAAACAGTCATGACCATTTTTGTAGATGTTTTGAGTTCCTCGTGATAAGAGTCCTAAGGAAAAATTTAAATCGCATCATATGACCCCTTTAATAAATGGTTGGTGATATGTATGGAAGTATATCACAGCTATGTTCTGTTTTCACAGATTATGATAGATGTGGATGACAGGAATGATTGGAAAGAATGCATTGATATCGGAGGTGTCCGCCTCCCTACAGGATACTATTTTGGGGCTTCTTCGGCCACAGGAGATCTTTCTGGTAAGTGCTACTAATAAATCTCCCCTAGATGTCCACAATAGTCCTGATGTCTTTTGCCAGACCTCACTGATACTGTTTGCTCTGTGCAGATAATCATGACATCATCTCTATGAAGATGTACCAGCTGATGGTGGAACACACTTCTGAGGAGGACAACCAGGACTGGACGAAGATCGAGCCTAGTGTCAGTCTCCTCAAGTCGCCGAAAGGTAACACAGCTGACGTTACAGACATATTCAAACTGTTGGCAGGAGGATTTTTCATTCAATTGCTTGTCATGTTCACATCTTCTCACACAAAAAAGACAATATTGATGATCCGACGGGAAATTTCCGAAGCACGCCCCTCACTGGCTGGAAGGTGTTTCTGCTTCTGCTGTGCGCTCTGCTGGGAATCGTGGTTTGTGCCGTTGTTGGTGCCGTGGTCTTTCAGAAGCGTCAAGAGAGGAACAAGAGGTTCTACTAAACAACAGGATTTCAAAGAACTCTGGAGATTGTAGGTGAAAGAACATTAATGTGAATTTTGAGCGGCTGTATACATGTGGATGTTATTGAACTGCTCGACTGGAAGGAATGCTGGTTTGAGTCTAAAGAGTGGGATTTGTGGCTTCAATGAAACGATTCTTTATGTTGATCTTTCTGATTTGGGTCTGCTGAAGTAAATTATGCATTTTCAATGCGGTCTACAGTAGTACATCATTTCTGTGTTCCCTTTATACACTTGATTTAGCTTCATTCTCTAAATCCTTGGTGGTTTTATTTTTTATTGTTTTAACCCTTTATCTGTGTTTCTTTTCCATCTACACATTGTTTCGTTCTGCTCTGGAGTGCTGATTTTTTTTTTTATAACCTGTGTGATTTACTTAAGAGGATTTTAATGGACTGCACAAGAAATCAGACTGATGAAAAGTGTCCTCTTAAATCGGTCAAATCAATGTAAATATTTTAAGTTGCTGCCCTAGTCCCTTTGCTCTATGGCATAATGATTGAGCCTTGTTTTTTAACCATAGGAGTTGAAAATATTGAACCAAAAAATACATGTTTATTTGTTTTATTACTGCAGGGTAACAAGAGTTAATTCAACCTTTTGTGAGTTTAGCTGGGTTATTTTTTACATCTTTCAAATTTTTTGCACCTCTATTTGAAGTTATCGCTATGCACTGATTAACAGTTGTTTCTGAAAGACGTTCACGTTTAAATGGGCAGTGACTGTAAAATGATGCTTTTGGTGAGAAAATAAAGCAGTTATAACAGTTTACTTGTTAAATATTTGTTTTCATTTTGTTTTGTTTTTAATAGTTTAACTTTTTTTATTTTTTATTATTATTTTGCACTTATTTGTTAGGACCCAATTTGCACCATACTCGTATTAAACCACTAGCGTTCAAAAATACTTAATAATTCCAGGACTAAAGTAATTATTTGTCCTGAAAAATATTTTAGTGTAATAAAAAAGTGTCACTAACAAGGTTTTTGGACAACAGGTGGATATTCGGGACGGGTACAAATTCGAATAGTTTTGTCACTGTCTGCAGCTGCACATTGTGAAGCAGCATCAAGATGTTGTATGTTTATCTCAAGAAACTTCAGAGTTTTGTCCCCAAACATACTTTTATGAGTAGAAATGTGAAACTATTTAAACATCTTGCACCCAAGCGAAAAAATCTTCAGCTGTAAAAAAAAACGTGGACTATATGGATTGTATCACTCATTCATAACTTATTTATACAAGATTGTATTTAATTATTAATTTTATTTAATTTAATTAAGTACTTCTAAGGAATTGCAAATGAATAATAAATTAATTCAGTTTACTTGTTAAATATTTGTTTTCATTTTGTTTTGTTTTTAATAGTTTAACTTTTTTTATTTTTTATTATTATTTTGCACTTATTTGTTAGGACCCAATTTGCACCATACTCGTATTAAACCACTAGCGTTCAAAAATACTTAATAATTCCAGGACTAAAGTAATTATTTGTCCTGAAAAATATTTTAGTGTAATAAAAAAGTGTCACTAACAAGGTTTTTGGACAACAGGTGGATATTCGGGACGTGTACAAATTCGAATAGTTTTGTCACTGTCTGCAGCTGCACATTGTGAAGCAGCATCAAGATGTTGTATGTTTATCTCAAGAAACTTCAGAGTTTTGTCCCCAAACATACTTTTATCAGTAGAAATGTGAAACTATTTAAACATCTTGCACCCAAGCGAAAAAATCTTCAGCTGTAAAAAAAAAACGTGGACTATATGGATTGTATCACTCATTCATAACTTATTTATACAAGATTGTATTTCATTATTAGTTTTATTTCATTTAATTAAGTACTTCTAAGGAATTGCAAATGAATAATAAATTAATTTGTTGCATGTAGTCAAAGTTTGAATTTTCAACTAAATATAGCATATAGTAATAAAAGAGGAAAAACATTACCGCAACAAGCCAAGTGTGTTAAGCAGTGAATAATTTTTCACTTTTTGTCAACATTATTAGTCTTTATTATTAAAAACATCATAGACCGCAGCAGATCTAACAGGCTACATTCACATTAAAGGGGTCATATGATGCTGCTAAAAAGAACATTATTTTGTGTATTTGGTGGCGGCAACAACAATACTACTGCGAGAATAAAAGTTACGCCTTCTTTTTTTTGCGTGAACATTTGGGCGGTGTTATGTAAATCTTCCCACATAGTGAGGTAGATATGTGGGGGCGTGTTCGAACGAGCCGTTTTAGGTAGGTGTGGCTGACTCTTAACTTTTATAAAGAATATCTCTTTGGATTTGAGACTTTAGTCTTTGCAACTTTACAGATCTTCTTTATGCTCCAAGAGCTTGTAACACTCCAAAGAGAAAGGAAAAAATTAAATTGCATCATATGACCCCTTTAATGAAGAAATCTTTTTTGACATCAGACAAAACTGATCATTTTTAAAAAATATTCTGGACAATGAGTGAATGAGTATCAATAGTTGCACACACACAAAGTTTTGCACTATTTATTTATCATCTCTCTATTTATTTTGCACAAAGGATAGGTATATGTACAGGGGTGACTAATCACCATGTAGGTAAATTGAAGAATCACCCCTTTCTTCTTTATTGCCTATATGGTGATTAGATTCACCGTTTTGGACTTAGCAGGACTTGTCATTGATAGGCTCCGTCCTGTCTTTTTTTCATGATAGAAAGTGCCATGTTAGAGCCATATAGTCGTCCTATAGGCTCTTAATAAAGCTCTCCGTGCATGCTAGAGTCAACAGACTGATGCCAAGCAAGGTATCTGGACTGCTCATTACTGTTTTGAAATAACTTTTCACAGTATTTGCCAGCCTTCTTCCCCATGACCGCTCAATGGATTCAGTCCAGTCTATTACTTGCCTGTCACTGGAGCTGCTTTCATTGTGCCTGAGTGTCTTGGCACCCCATGATAAACATCGGTTTGCCCATGAGCTCCTAAAAATTCAGAGACGCTAGGGCATTTTCTGCATCATGGTGGTGTTCAAAGTTCACAAAACCATAGCCGTGAGAGTGGTTGATAGTACTTCTGTCTCTGCACACTTGTGCAGTACAGATGGGGCCGAATGGGAGGAATATTGCATGCAGCTCTTGTTTGGTCACGTCTGAGTGCAAATTACTCACAAGCAATGACCTTGGTTCATCAGAGCTGCTCTCCCTGGGCTCAGTCTGTTCTTTGTCTTTAGGTTCGCTGTTCCCGTCACAGGCCTCTGTGCACGGCAGGACTTCCCCAAAGTCTGAGAGGGTATCATATACAGCAAACCTATCTTTGTGTCTTGCCAGGACCTTAACAGTCATGTACTGGGCCCATGGGATGCGCACAGGTTTGCCCATGAGCTCCAAAAAATTCAGAGCCACCAGGGCATTTTCTGCATCATGGCGCTGTTCAAAAGTCACAAAACCATTGCCACGAGACCGGTTCGTTCTTCTGCCTCTGCAGACTTTAACAGAACGGATGGGTCCGAATGGCTGGAATATTGTATGCAGCACTTGTTCAGTCACATCTGAGTGTAAATCATTGATGAGCAATGACCCCTGCACTTTTGGTTGACCATTATCCTCATCTAAAGACCAATTGTAGGAAGTTGCCATTTTGATTGTCCGTCAAGACTTTTTTTCCAAAAAGCTATTAGTATAAAGCACAAATACTGTGGAGATGCTTCAGTCAGATCAATCAGTCAAGTAAATGATATAAAATGTTCCTGTGGCTCAGTGGTGGAGCATTGCGTTAGCAGCACAAAGGTCGTGGGTTCAATTTCCAGGGAACACGCATACTGATAAAAAATGTATAGCCTGAATGCACTGTAAGTCGCTTTGGATAAAAGCGTCTGCTAAATGCATTAATTTAATTTAAAATTACTGTTTTGATGCTTTTAAAGCAGGGGTGCCCAAACTCGGTCCTGGAGGGCCGGTGTCCTGCAGAGTTTAGCTCCAACCCCAATCAAACACACCTGAAGCAGCTAATCAAGCTCTTACTTGGCATACTAGAAACGTCCAGGCAGGTGTGTTGAGGCAAGCTGGAGCTAAACTCTGCAGGACACCTGCCCTCCAGGCCCGAGTTTGGGCACCCCTGTTTTAAAGCCTCTGAACGTTCTAAAATTCTAATGACTGTGACGTCACCGATCACGTGACATTCTGGACTGCCTGTGTGACGTCACAACGCGTGCCGCCAATGTTCCACCCACTGATCTATAATAGAGAAATATATAGTCATATATAGATCAGTGGTTCCACCGCATTCTAATGAATCAATAGAAAATCATCTCATTTTAATGAGAAAGCATTAACGAGTCACTGATTTCACAACTAAGGCACCCCTGTACATTTATACAATGCAGACGTCCTTGTAAAATGTTATTTATTTAAAATTAGGAATTAAAGTTATTAAAAGTTTCATTACAGTAGCGAACTGTAGATCGTACATTTTGAATTTTCATACAATAAATATAGTGCAGTATAGTGCCAGCTTGTATTGTAATGTTTATATTCGAATTTCTGCTTTAGTCCCTGATATGTATGTCTGATATGTGAAGCAATCATCAGTGTGCAATAGATTCCCACGTTTAGCCTATATCGCTTTTCCTGCCTGAAAATATCAATTAATTTAATATAGTCATTCTTTTTCAGTTTACTGAAAACAACATTTTCCAAAGTCCCTGATGTTTTTGAAAATTATAGATTTGTATGACTTTGTTCATCCAGTAGTAGCCTAATGAAAATACCTATCTTTTACAGTTTTACTTCCTGACTTACAGCCGAAAAATGTGACAACATAGTAAAGTAGGACAATTAAATAAAATTAATTCTTGAACTCTTTGTGGTGAGTAATCTCACGTAGCCTATGGCTACCCCAGATAGCACAGGTACCTCTGCAAGATGTCTGTTAAATATCTCTTCATCTGGAAAGCATCTGCTGTGTACAAACATCTGATAGACATCTTTAAGATGTCAGTTTTACATACATTCTAAAACATCTTAAAGACATCT